CACATATCCGCCGAATAGACTAATGCAAAAGTCGGATGGCCATTGACCACCACTTGCCCAAACTACAGGCAAATCTACTTTTCGTGTCTGGGTTGTTGTTCTTGTTGTTGTTGTTGTTGGGCGTGGTCGTTGGTCGGCAGACTGATTGTAATTTTGTGTGAAACATAATACACATATTAGTCATAAGGATAAATGATATGTATTCTCGTTACATGGGTGAGTCAATCAACTGGCCCATTGGGAACGACGCGCCAAACAGCTCAGCAGACAATAAGTCTCTTTGGCATGGAACGCGAACCACAAAAATAAATACATAAAAAAAAGAACCACAACACACCTTAAGGCGTGTTAATTAGCGTGAACGAAGGGAACAGTTGCTAAGCAGTAGGAGTAGTTGGTGTAGTCGTAGTGCCAGTGCTGCCACTCTGCTAAATATTGGTAATAGAGCCATAAATCGTTCGGTGTCTAACCCCCCCACCCTGTTTGTCTGTCTATGTTTGCAAATGTCTCTTTGGAGTGGGGGTTGATGATAAAGTGAAAACCTGCACTGAAAAACCAGGCAAATACACTGATCAAAATTAACTTGTGGAGCGTGCGTGTGTGTGTGGGAGGGGGTAGGGGGGTGGGGTGGGGAGAGCACATAAACATATAAACGTTGTTATCGGCGCCATAAAGTAACTGGTAATCCGAGTTCAAAAAACTCTGCACGCACACCAAAAAAAAAAAAACCAAACCAAGCCGCACCGCATCGAACCGAATGAAGAAAGCATCAAAGCTTTTGCATAAGGACAAACGACAAGTGGCAACGCCAAATAAAAGCGACACAGCTGGCATTGAACGCATTCAAAATCACTTTCGCTCCATTTGTGCACAGTGGTCGCAGCAGCGTCATAAATACATACATATGTATATAAATTTCAATTCTTCAACTTCTTTGCTTTTCTCATTCGAAATGTGTAATTACAATTGAAACCACAATTGAAATTGAAACACAATAAACAAATATTATTAGAAATTTGAAATGAGTCTCACGTACTTGAGACAATTGGGCGTGGTCACTGTACGTGCGGTAAATGTGTTCTTTTTGTGTTTACAATGCACCACTGCAGTCATATCAAATACCCACACCTATATATATATATATATATATATCAATGTGGCAACAAATGTGTACAGTCATGAGTGAGTACTGTCATTCTCAAGGAACCACTGTGCACGTGCGTTGCAAGAGTTGCACACTGTAAACGCCGTTCGGCATCTGCGTGCACATTCAAGAAGCATTCATTAAGCATAAGCGAAGCTCAGTCAGATGCTCTTTGTTTCAATGCGAAGAATGTTGAAGTGCATATGCATACGAGTACATACACACATACACACACATGCACACATACATGCATACATATTTAAGTAGCGTCCTACCCCCACCCCAGATCTGACCCCTGCCCCAAGCGCACTTAAAATGCACTTGATAAAAGCAAAGCGCGCAGCTAAAATAACAAAAACAAATGCTGCTGTTGTTGTTGTTCTTATTATTGTTGCATGTGTGTGAATGGGCACAGAAACAACAGCAACGACTACAGACCTAATAAACGCGCAGCCCAATGAATTATGCGCTGTGCCTATCCACTTCAACTCACCCACCAACTTGAGGCATGCAAGCCAGCAGCCAGCAAACATACTGATAAACCATAAAAATATTTATGCACACACACATATATATGTACATATACGTATGTATGTATGCATTCATATCTGTTCACTCAAAATGCAAGACTTTGCGGCAATTAACGCTGACACTCCCACGCGCAATTCAAAATATTAAAGAAGAAACGACCAAAAGGCACAAGACAAAAGACAAAAGGAAAACAAAAACAAAGGCAAAAATAAAGGCAATGCTTTGTGGCAGTATGGCAACACTCTTTACGATTTGACATAAACAAATGTAAAGCAAAGTAAGCATTGCTGAATAAGTCCAGCTCCCCCGCTCTCGCTGCGCTGCATTAGTCATCACAAGAGCTTCACAAGGCGAGCTGGGGCTGATTAATAAAATCAACAGCAACAACAACAACAGCATCCACAACTACTTTCAAGTGTCAATCAGTGTCAGTGTCAATAATTTAGCATGTCACGCCTCCGCTCCACCGGCACCCGATCGCAGCCAACAACCGCCTACGCAGCGTACTCATTGTAATTCTCTCTCTCTTTCCCAGTTATCCTTTTTATCGTTTTGTTTGCCACGCATTTTTATGAGTGAGCGAACGCGCGCGCGCTTGCGCGTTTCACAATGGCACATTGTGTTTTGATTAGCGCTACGCGCGTGCTCCACCACTGTTCACGGCGCAAATTGCATTTGAATGGGGACAAGTGTGTGGGCGGATAAAGAGAGAGGGGAGGCAGACGCAGCAATTACAGTTGGCAAATCGAAAAGCAACACCTGAAAACTATTAAGACACTGTGCACGATCGTCTGTGTGTGTGTGTGTGCGCAAAGAAATTGTACACAAAAATGGCAAACGAAAATTACGGCTGCCCCTTGAACTAGAGAATTGGAGAACTAGAGGCAACGTCGTCGCTGATGATGTAGTTATGTGTTGCTCTTCGTCTCTGACTTGCGGGCTGCTGCTGATGCTAAGTCGTAGTTTTTCACGCTCTCCATCTTTGTGCTGCTCTCTCTTTCCCTCTCTCTCTCTCTCCCCCTCTCTCTCTCTTTCTATCTCTCTGTCTGTGTATGTGTGTGTCTTTATTTTAAGCAGAAACCGGTTTCTGTTTGCCTTCTTAGCCTCTGTGGGTCTGTCTCTTTAAGTTTGCCGTTGTGTTGTCATACTATGGAAATACTTACACATACACATACTTGTATGTGTAAGTATAAATATATCTATATATTATTCAAATGTTATTTTTGCGAAATTCATATGAAATTCCAAGTAAAGAGAAAGAAGAAGATGCCAGCCTAGCTTAGCATATGCGAATTAGTCATAAATGTTGTTGCGTGGGATAAGGTGGGGGGTTGGAAGGGGGTTTGGCGAGGAAGGGGGAAAACATTGAACTTGTGCGTCAGCAGAGGGGCAAGGCGCATGCGCTGCTGCTGCTGCTGTTGGTTGTGATTTTGCAATGCATGCAAACTCACAGAGAGAGAGAGAGAAAGAGAGAAGAGACATGGCGTTGCCACCACCCAAGGGAACTTGTTTTCCCCCAAGCGCTGCGCTCCCCCACACACGCACATACATGTGTATTTATACATAAGTGCATACATACTTATGCATACATGCATATGTATGTGTATATGCACTCTAGCTGGAGCATTACCGTTAGCTGTTGTTGATGCCGCTCTCTTCGTGGGGGGGTTGTTGAAGGCCATTGTCGCTGTCGCTATTGCTGGAGATGTCGACGTTGACTTGACGCTGACGCCCACATGCACCGGTTAACGGTTTTGCGCAGTGCTCTTTTATATGAGTCATGCAATTGGCATTTAATATATATATATTTATGTACAATCTCCCATTACATGGCATCTCCCTTTACAGTTGCCCATATTGATTTAACATTTACTGTACATATTTGTATGTGTATTTTATTATATATATATACAATATAAACACATGATAAACGCCGTTCATATTCTCTTTACTTACCTCTGTAAATTTCTCTTTTATCTCGGCCTTTTCATCAATGGATAAAGATTTTGTAAATTTGTTAAGTGTTGCCATTTTGTTATCTCTGTTCTTATTGGGTTTGTTGTTGTTGTTGTTGTTGTTCTTGCTTTTGCTGCGTCTGTTGCTGATGTTCTTTGTTCTTGTTTCTTAATTGTTATATTGGCTATTATTTATATAAAGTATAGGGTTAATTTCACTTTATCGCTGCTGTCGCCGTTTTGCCGCTCTCTTGTTGTTTTTGTCTCGTTCTTGTTGTTGTTGTGCGAAAAAGTGCGCCGCTGCTGGTGCTGCTGCGTCGCGTCGCTGTCTGTCTGCTTGTGTTGTTGTTGTTGTCTTGTGTTGTGTTGTTGGTGGTGGGTTTGTTTGCTTGCTTTCAGCAAGATGGGAGATGGGCTGTCGAGGGCGGCTGGGGGGACAACGGTGACACTTTCTTCTCTCTTTTGGGTGGTGGCGTTGGCGGCAACTTTACTTTTATTTATGGCTGTTATTGTTGTTAATTCTCTTACACGCTACTGCGCTGGATAATTGCTATTTTGCTATTTCTATTTTGTTATTGCTTATTGCTGTTGCTTTTGCTTTTCTCCTCCTTTTTGCGCACTTTCTCACTCTCTGTTTTGGCACGACTTCTTTTTTGCACTTAACAAAATATGAACGCACAAGATTTGGTCTCACTCTCCGCCGCTCGTATTTACACGTTGCTCTAAGCTCAGCTTATTCACCTCTGTTGCTATTGTTTAGCCGGCTTCTTCTGTGTGTGCGTACACTTTGTTATTTCCTAATCAATAACAATAACTCAACTAACGACAAAGAATGATTTATATTGCTGACAGGGTGCACGAACCATGCGCAAGAAAGTCTGAATTGAAACTGATGGAGCCTGAAACTGTGTGACCGCTGGTGGCTTACAACAAAATGTACTTAATTACTCAAAACACCAACGCAGTCATTGGAAATCTACAAAAATACCTAAGAAAATACTATATTTGAATCAAATGTTCGCGCTTACATGGATTCGAATCAAAATTGGAAGTAATTTTACTATATAACAATTTAAACATGTTTTTGAAATCAAATACATTTGTAGTATATTCCATTATATTATATGATAATTATACTCAAAGCACTGTGGCTTAAAGCCATAATTAAAATCGCATGAAATAACAAATATTGTTATCAAATATAGAAAAAAATAAATGCATTTTTATAACATTCATTTCGTTATTCAAATAACATGGGAACAGTTGCTGGGCATAATTAGAAATACCAGAAAACTGTTAGCGCACATTCGAGTCGCGTGAAGTTGGCTGCGAACATAAATCAAAGCAGGCAACCCTGCGCTGGCGCACAAAAAAAAAACAGAAAAAGCAGTATTGTGTTCTGTATTTATGTGTTTCGTGTTGAAATAAAATGCACATTAAGCAGGTATGTAAAAACTAAGTAAACTGAAATGAAAAAGGCCGTTGTCGTTCAATGCGCTCCCATTGCAGATTATCATACAAGGCTTCAAGAGTTACAAGGACCAGACGGTCGTCGAGCCATTCGATAAGCGTCACAATGTCGTCGTTGGACGCAATGGCTCTGGCAAAAGTAATTTCTTCTATGGTAAGTCCTATGCCACTTTCCACTTGCGATTCAATTGCAAATTAAACATACACGCACACACACATGTAGCTATCCAGTTTGTGCTGAGCGATGAGTTCACACATCAACGGCCGGAGCAGCGTCAGGCTCTGCTGCATGAGGGGACAGGAGCGCGCGTCATATCCGCCTATGTGGAAATTATATTCGATAACTCGGACAATCGAGTGCCGGTAAGTGTGATGTGAATAACACACAGACATAAAGATATATATATATATAACTTTCTCGAATTTTTGCGACAGATCGACAAGGAGGAGATTTATTTGCGTCGCGTTATTGGCGCCAAAAAGGATCAGTACTTCCTCAACAAGAAGGTGGTGCCACGCAATGAGGTCGTCAATTTGCTCGAATCGGCTGGCTTCTCCAGCTCCAATCCCTATTATATTGTCAAGCAGGGTAAAATAAATCAGATGGCCACCGCCGCCGATTCGTATCGCTTGAAGCTGCTTCGCGAGGTGGCCGGCACTCGGGTGTACGATGAGCGCAAGGAGGAGTCCTTGAATCTGTTGCGCGAAACGGATGGCAAGCTGGAGAAGATCGTTGAGTATCTGAAGACGATCGAGGACCGACTGCAGACGCTCGAGGAGGAGAAGGAAGAGCTCAAGGAATACCAGAAGTGGGATAAGACTCGACGCACTTTGGAATACATACGCTACGAGACGGAGCTGAAGGATACGCGACGTGCCCTCGAGGAGCTGCTGCTGCAGCGCAAATCTTCGTCGGACAAGAAGAAGAACTACAACATTGAGATACAAAAGGCGCAGGAGAAGATCAAGGAGGTGCAAAAGAACCTCAAAGAGGCAAAGAAAAAGGTGACCAGCACCAAGGAGGAGCGCTCGGTGCTGATGACCGAACAGCAGCAATTGTTGCGCGAAAAGACAAAACTCGACCTGACAATTGTCGATCTGAATGATGAGGTGCAGGGTGACAACAAATCCAAGGAGCGCGCCGATCAGGAGCTCAAGAATCTCAAGGTGACAATAGCAGAGCGCGAGAACGAACTGGACGAAGTGAAGCCCCAATACGAGTCGATGAAGCGCAAGGAGGAGGACTGCTCCCGCGAGCTCCAGCTGAAGGAGCAGAAGCGCAAGGAGCTGTATGCGAAACAGGGACGCGGCTCACAGTTCTCGTCACGCGAGGACCGCGACAAGTGGATACACAATGAGCTCAAATCGATCAGCAAACAGACCAAGGACAAAATCAATCATCATGCAAAACTGGTGGAGGATTTGAAAAAGGATGCCACCTCCGAGAAGGATCTGGGCACCAAGATCGAGGAGCACTCATCGGAGCTGGAGCAGCTGCGCCTCCAAATCGATGAGCACAACAAGAAATATTACGAGCTGAAGAAGACCAAGGATCAGCATCAATCCATGCGCAACGAACTGTGGCGCAAGGAGACCCAAATGACCCAGCAGCTGCAAACCCAAAAGGAGGAGCTCTCCCGTGCCGATCAAGCGTTGCGCAGCATGGCCGGCAAACCAATCCTGAATGGCTGCGATTCCGTGCGCAAAGTGCTCGACAGCTTCGTGGAGCGCGGCGGCCAATCTGCGGCGATAGCCCGTGCCTATTACGGTCCGGTTATCGAGAACTTTAGCTGCGACAAGACGATCTATACGGCCGTCGAGGTGACTGCGGCGAATCGGCTCTTCCATCACATTGTCGAATCAGAATATGAGGGCACCCAGATCCTCAAGGAGATGAACAAGTTGAAATTGCCCGGAGAGGTGACATTCATGCCGTTGAATCGCCTCCAGGTGAAGATACACGATTATCCGGATGATCCGGACTCGATACCAATGATATCGAAACTCAAATATGATGAGCAGCATGATAAGGCGCTGCGCTATATCTTTGGCAAGACGCTCATCTGTCGCAATTTGGAGCGTGCCACGGAGCTGGCGAAGAGCACCGGGCTCGACTGTGTCACACTCGATGGGGATCAGGTATCATCGAAGGGCTCCCTCACCGGCGGCTATTTCAATACGTCGCGTTCCCGCTTGGAGATGCAAAAGAAGCGCACAGAATACACCCAACAGATTACGGAATTCGAGAAGAAGCTGAGCAAGTTGCGCAACGAGCTGAAATCGACGGAGAACAACATCAATTCGATTGTCTCCGAGATGCAGAAGACAGAAACGAAACAGGGCAAATCGAAGGATGTGTTTGAGAAGGTGCAGGGCGAGATTCGTCTGATGAAGGAGGAGCTGGTGCGCATCGAGAAATATCGTGCGCCCAAGGAACGATCGCTGGCCCAATGCAAGGCCTCGCTGGAGGCGATGAATAGCACCAAGTCCAGCCTGGAGGCGGAGCTCAAGCAAGAGCTAATGTCAACGCTCTCCGAACAGGATCAGCTTGAAATTGATAAGCTCAACGAGGATATACGTAACCTCAACCAGAACAATAAGGATGCATTCACCCAGCGCATGCAGCTGGAGGTGCGCAAAAATAAACTGGACAATCTGCTGATTAACAATCTGTTTCGGCGACGCGATGAGCTCATCCAGGCACTGCAGGAGATCTCTGTGGAGGATCGCAAGCGGAAGCTAAACAATTGTAAAACAGAGCTGGTCTCAACGGAGAAACGCATCAAGAAGGTCAATGCAGATCTGGAGGAGATTGAGAAGCGGGTCAATGAGGCTGTCCAGCTGCAAAAGGAACTGCAGTCGGAGCTGGAGGCGCATGTACGCAAGGAGAAGGAGGCCGAGGAGAACATCAACAAGGATAGCAAACAACTGGAGAAATGGACAACCAAAGAGAATATGCTGAATCAGAAGATCGATGAGTGTACCGAGAAGATTGCCAGTCTGGGCGCCCTGCCAATGGTGGATGCCACCTACACTCGCATCTCGCTGAAGAACATCTTCAAGGAGCTGGAGAAGGCCAATCAGCATCTAAAGAAATACAATCATGTGAACAAGAAGGCGCTCGATCAATTCCTCAGCTTTTCCGAGCAGAAGGAGAAGCTGTACAGGCGCAAGGAGGAGCTTGATGTGGGTGATCAGAAGATCCATATCCTCATCCAGTCGCTGGAGATGCAGAAGGTCGAGGCCATACAGTTCACATTCCGTCAGGTTGCCCAGAATTTCACCAAGGTCTTCAAGAAACTGGTGCCTCAAGGCGCCGGCTATTTGATACTGAGGACCAAGGATAACGAGGGCGAAGAAATGGAAAAGGAGGTGGCCAATTCGGACGCATTCACTGGCATCGGGATACGCGTGTCGTTTACGGGCATCGATGCCGAAATGCGTGAAATGAATCAACTGTCTGGTGGACAGAAATCCCTGGTCGCCCTCGCCCTCATCTTCTCCATACAGAAATGCGATCCGGCACCATTCTATCTATTCGATGAGATCGATCAGGTAATCAGATTGGCAGCAGCAGTAGCAACGACGATTGCCTTAATCTATCCGTCTTCTGTCTTGCAGGCACTGGATGCAATGCATCGCAAGGCTGTTGCCGATATGATCCACGAGCTGAGCGACACCGCCCAGTTTATAACCACCACATTCAGGCCGGAGCTGCTCGAGAATGCCCACAAATTCTATGGTGTGCGATTTCGCAACAAGGTCAGCCACATTGATTGTGTGACCCGCGAGCAGGCCAAGGACTTTGTCGAGGATGACAATACGCACGCTTAAGAGCAGCACTCCTCCACTACCACTCCGACGCCCACGCCCACTCCCTTCCCATCCCACATCCCACACACTCAAGCATTTCTTAGTGATAATAAATAATTTGAATTTTTTGTTTCTTGTTTTTCAATATTTTGTATTCCCTTTTATTATGTTTTTCTTTCTTAAAACTAAACGTTTTTGAATGCTTAAATTTATTTGTACTTTTTTGTAATTTGCTATCAATTCGACCTATTTAAGTGAAAGCAACAAGTCTTGCAACATTTGAAATAACGCAATTTGTTGCGAAACTCCTTTTCCATTAAGGATCTATTCTTATTTTGCTACATTTAAGTAATCGTAATAAATGACGCAGAGAAATATATACAAACGTATTTAATTATACTCTAGCAACTTAATGTTCAACGATTTGTTTATACACAAACGATTTAAGTTTACAATGTACATTTATTAATAAAAATGTCAACCTCAACAAATAAAATACATTTGTATCTTGCGAACAGATCATTACACTTGACAAAAAGGGTTTGCTGAAGATCCATTGAAAACTAAAAGGTGTATTATACACCTATATATATATACACCTGTATATTGATATATATATCAGTCACTAAGTAGAGAACAGGTCACATTTGCATTCCAATTGGCCTTAAACTTATTTTCCACAGCTCGTTAAAAATAATTAATAAATATTTGATTGTTTTCTTGTTTGATTTCGAATAGACAGCACAGATTTATTTTAATGGGTTGCACATCAATATATATATATATAGAAACCATCGTTTATTGACTAAAAATCCATTTGAATGAATCTCGCAGATTAACAGGTAAACAAAATCAACGCTTAAAAATACAAGTTAATAATACAAGTACAATGTATAAAAATGTCTCAGTTTCGCGCTAAATGCAGCATTAATCAGTTAATTAACAAATCCTTAAACCATTCTCTATAATCTTCAAGCTCGCACAATCATAATCATCTGCTGGTGGTCTCCTCAATTAGCTCCTGGGTGGCATTGATGGCAAATATAACAGAGAAGCACATGCCCACAGTTTCCACCTCCAATGCAGTGATGTTGAAGTGCAATGTTAGGCGCCAGAGTACAAAATGATTGAGCAGGACTAACATGGCCAGTCCCAATGACCACGAGTGCTCTTCGATGATGGCGATGCGCCACAGGCAATACACATTCCACAGCACGCACATGGTCAGATTGAAGCGCTCTAACCGACTCAAGATCACTGCCAGCGTTGACTTCTCGTTGAGGCAGCGTCGCAAGCTGATCAATGTCAATATGCTCGTATACAAGGCCAGGACGATAAAGCACCAATTGATGCCGACGCCCAATTGGATATCGCCAACGATGCCCTGCAGCTGGCCAATGATCAGTGTAACGAATATGACCGGTGCATAGCGGAGCGACTGCTCGCAGATGCATCGCTGCACATTGCCCGGATTGGGATGCGTGTAGCGCAAAATGCAGAAGACACTGTGTGCAAAGATTAAACCATATGCGGCCAATCCATGCCGACCATTGCTGTAGTGTTTCAGTGCCCAACCGGAACAGACGGCCAATATGAAATTCAACAGCCCCAAGGCGAGCTTCGAAGTGAAGCAGCCCCCGGCACTGAGAGCCATTGAGACAGTTGCCCCAACACACAAAACAAATTACAACTTACAACTGATATTGTTGTTATTGTTGCAAGCAGAACTGCGACAACGGCGATTTAACGTAATTTATGAAATCATCGGCTAATATCCAAAATAATCGATAGGCAGAAATACAAACTAGTGTTGGGTAACTGCTCGTTCGTTGAATCAAGCAACCTCCTTCTAATTTGATCATTTACTGAGCAGTCTTAAAAACTTGAAATATTCATTATAAATTTATCTTATTCAGTTAAACATCGAACATTTGGTAGAAATTTTACAGCAAATCTAGCTTTATTTCGAATCGATCTAGTTCATAGCAGCTACCCAACACTAAGCGTTGTTCTTCCATCTCATTTTTGGGGACGCGCGCGAGCGATTTGTATTTTGTTATCGGTTCCTTTTATTTAGTGTTGCTCTTCTTATAAACATTTACAGTTAGTTTAAACGACGCCAGCAAGATGGCGGATCCAAGTGGATTTAAATTGTTCAGAACAGTGGATCCGACAACAGTAAATGTGCCGCTAAAAGAAAAATTTGCGAATCTGACACTATCCTCCAACAAGAAAAAGCAGCAGCAGCAGCAATCTGCAAAACAGGATCAGCTACAAAGCGTCAGTCGCCAACTTTTGCCCGAATTGGATATAATAACTGTTGTTCAGTCTGACGAGCATCCATTGCTGCGCAGCGACTCCTCATCCTTAAGCGCTATGGGACGGCAGCAGTCGTCAAAGGCATCGAGAGACGATGTCTCAGATTATATGGAGACACTGCAGCTGAGCGCCGATGGATGTACCCAGCGCACTGTGGATGCAGATGCCGATGCGGATGTGGAGCGTCTATCTACACAGGTATACAATTTGACAGTGAAGCCGGAAATTCCGCAGATTTCCATTTGCATATCTTCAACAACTGAAGAGGATCTGGATGACGATGATGATGACGATGACAATGACAATGACAAATCGTGCATTACCATATCCGATACCAGTGACAGCGAGTGTGCTCCAGCGGAGGAACAGCCAGCCAACCACCAGGAGCCAGAGACGGAGCCAGGCATGACAGTCAGCGGGCAGGTAGCAACAACAGCTGCTCCAGAGCCACAGGCTGTTCATCTCTCCAATGGCAAGGTGCAGCGAATTGAGGCTTTCCTGCGTGACGTATCCTTTGAACGGCGTGCAATGATCCGTCGTGGACAGATGGCCCTGTCTGGCGATCATACGCGCTTGGCCAGCGCTGATACTGAGTCCATGAGTCTGCTCGATGTCGATTGCACACAATTGCCATCGGACATGGCCACGATCACGACGACGCATACGTCTGAGCCCAATGAGCAGCTGAATAACAGCAAGCGATTGGCGGATAATGATACCGAGATGAATACTTTGTGCTCATCCGAAGAGCAGCTGGAAACGGATAGCAGCAAGCGGCTGGCGCATGATGACACCGAGGTGAACACACCCGACATGGATGAGCCGATGTCTGATTCCACGCACTTGGACCAAACCATACCGGAGACCAGCACCGAACTGGAACCATCTCCCGCCCGGCCCAGCTCGTCTTCATCGGCAGAGACAGAGACGGAGGCGGTCATACAAGTTAGCAGCATTAATATATCGGCAAAGATCAATATTAAAATCCACATACCGAAAATGGATTCGAGCTCGGCAGAGTCCGACGATGCAATAGACGAGGAGGCGAAGGCGGATGTGAGCTACGTAAAGCCACAGAATCAGGCACTAGAGAGGCAAAAGTCGCAGAGAAGGACACAAGAACAGAAGAGTTCTATTTTTGGCGACGACGGTTCAGAGGATGAGCAATTTCTGACGAATGCTGAGAAGCTGTTGAATGAACTCTACGGCACAACCTGGCAAACACCGGAGAATATATACCTTCTCAAACACCCCAACGCCAGCAAGGGCAAAACAGCAGCAACAACAACAAAAACAACAGCATCGACATCATCATCAACGGGAATAAACCGCACTCCGCTGAACGAGATCAGGCGACAGCCGAGAGTACGTCGTCAAGCTGCGACAACAGCTAAGAAAGGGATGCCACCGCCACCGCCGCCACCTGCAACGCCCAACGAGAGCGCACTGGGCGACTTTAGCCTCTGTACGTAGATATTACAATAAGACTCGAAATCCTTTCTATTTTATTTATATATATAATCTTATAGTTAAGCAAGCCTTGCATTCAACGAAACTGAATTCGACGCATCTGCCGAAGGTGGCCAGGACGGAGAGGCGACCGGTTAAGCAGGTTGTGCGCACCAATCATATACACGAGGAACGCTTGCGGGCTTTGGTTGATACGGACAGTGGCGGTGATGCCTCCGATGATGAGGATGCCGATGCAACAGCATCAGATAGCAGTGACAATGCCAATGGCAATGCTAATGATGGCAATTTGACCTACTTGGATCTAACCAAGGCCGAGGTAGAGGTGGTCGGCAATCCCAATGAAGAAGCTGATGCTGCCAGTGAGTATATTTGGTGAAAACTCTTTCAACTCAATTATTATACAATAATTTCCATGCATCTTTGTGCATCGTTTGCAGTAAGCAAATTTCCAAAACGACTCGATGACATTCTACGCACCTGTCGCGCCACCGATAAACCTAAGTTGCCTGCCACGCCTGCAACGCCTGCCACGCCAGCAATGACCGCAGATCGGATCCCGACACGCCGTCAGCTTTTTACGCCAAATACGGGCTTTGAGACCGAGGAGGAGGCCAAGCGCATTGTGGACCAAGCGCTCGACCTGAGCTTCCTGGATGACCTGGCGAATTTTTATTTGCCGGATACGGCGGTGCATAGGCGTATGCTGGAGGTAAAAAAACAGCTGGGCATGCCCATAAAAACGCCAAGGAGGAAACCGATCTTTAAGCTACACACACCACAGACCGCACCGCCGGCCAAAACCAAAACAGTGGAACGTTCCAAAATGCCACAGAACAATGTCAAGCAAGGCAAGGATGTGGACAAACGCAGTGGAAAATGCAGCTTCATCAAGTCGCTGGAGCCAGAGATCAGTCGGGATCGTTGCGACAACGAGGCATTCTTCTATCGCGAGAACTATGCCAAGAACAAGGAGCAGCTGGCGATGCGACTATACGACATGTTCAACGCCCAGGTCTGCAATAATGGACTCCAAGTGCCCATCACCTGGTCCAAGCTGCTGCGCAATACAGCGGGCAGATGCACAACTAAACAAAGGTAGCTATCAAATGGCAATGGGAAGCTATGAATTCATCCTTCATTCATATATCTCGCAGGATATTTGAAAGTTGCCAATAATTCTTTGTTGTTGTTGTTATTTTTTTTCGTTTGGCAGAGGGCAGCAGAGAAGCAGCTCTGTGGAGCTGAGTTCCAAGGTGTTGACCAGTGCGGATCGATTGCGCTGCACCTTAATCCATGAGCTGTGCCATGCGGCTGCCTGGGTATTCGACGGTGCGTGCGGACACGGTGTCGTTTGGAAGCGTTGGACTGGACTTGCCAACGACAAGTTTCCCGATCTGCCGCCGATTCGAGTTTGTCACGACTACGATATTGAGTTCAAGTACACATATAAATGTGATAACTGCAACGCAGCGTAAGTTGCATACACATATATAAATCTGAATCGAATTATTAATAACACCAAGTCTCATACAGTTCATATGCCCACTCACGATCTCGCAAGGTGGAGAATTTACGTTGCAGCATTTGCTGTGGACACGTCATAGTGCTCCTAAACAGGAAGGACAAGTCTGGAAATATTGTTCCGACGCCGGTGCGAGAGGCGACAGGTTTCGCCAAGTTCGTCAAGGAAAATTTTCATAAGTACAAGCGCCCCAATCTTACTGCTCCGCAGGTGATGCGCATTCTGAGTGCAGAGTATGCCAAGGTAAAGCCCAAAGGACAGTTGGCAAAAAAAGACGAAGTGGCCACTATAGTTAGCCAAGTGGAGACATTAACATTAGATGATGATGATGATGAGCAAGACTAAGCGTACAAAATTCGTTTATTAATTGTTTGTTTGAATAATAAAAAAAGCGCATTTTCGCAAAACCTCTGCTTTTGAAATTATCACTTTTAGTGTGGCACAACTTCAGCAACAACAATCGATTGTTGAGTTATCGATGTGGTTACGATTTCGATATACTCAAGACGGGCAACAGTGACGTCGAAATAAGCAGCTATTTTGTTGCTTCTGTAGGTGGATTTTTGATTTTTGAAAAAGCCGCATAACAAATTAACATTGCCAATGTCGCGCGTATGAAAAGCGTAGCGCGGCACATAAGCATAATCTAACTGATTATTTTTTGCCCCCAAGCCGGATAGATGGATGCATGATAAGCAATTGTGACATCAAAACTTGCGCTACTGTCATCACTTACACACATACGCACGCAATCGTAAACATTTCTTTGCAGAACCAATATCGAACACGTCAGCTACGCGGATGCCGATTGTTGTTTGACAAACAATTTGTTTTGATCAATCCAATTCAATAAATTGAGTGCACCAACTACGCACTTTCACCAAAAAATTTGCAAGTATTCACTAGTCAACAAACCAACAAACGCTGCAATAAAATGGTAAGCTCACACACACACACAATTGCGTACGCGTCAATGTCGGCTATTCGACTTATTTTTCACATACCTTTATATTCACTTGTGCTTCTTATCACCTGCAGGTACTCATTGCCGCATCAGTCTGCACAAAGAATGGCAAAGGTAAGCAAAGCTCTGCATATATTTATATAAATATTTTTGCGTATATTAACATTAACATCCAACAAATACACCCGCACACACAAACACTCTGTCAAACACAAACTGCACTTTCGTATACAAATGCACAGTTATATTGTCACGTCAGTACGTTGAGATGACGAAGGCGCGCATCGAGGGTCTGCTGGCAGCATTCCCCAAACTGATGACCGCCGGCAAGCAGCACACGTATGTGGAAACAGACTCGGTGCGCTACGTCTACCAGCCGATGGAAAAGCTCTACATGCTACTGATAACCACAAAGGCCAGCAACATACTGGAGGATTTGGAGACGCTAAGGCTCTTCTCTAAAGTGGTGCGTACAACGACCCTGACAATGTTCTAGCAACCAAGGGAGAAGCAGAGGGGGTATTATTAATTATATGCTTATAACTGTTGTTCATGTGTGCAGATTCCCGAGTACTGTCATTCGTTAGACGAAAAGGAGATTGTGGAGAATGCATTTAATCTGATATTCGCCTTTGATGAGATCGTTGCGCTTGGCTACAGGGAGAGCGTGAATCTGGCGCAGATCAAGACATTTGTGGAGATGGACTCGCACGAGGAGAAAGTGTATCAAGCGGTGCGTCTGACCCAAGAGCGCGAGGCACGCCAAAAGATGCGCGAGAAGGCCAAGGAACTGCAGCGTCAACGCATGGAGGCCAACAAACGTGGTGGTCCCTCGATGGGTTCGCTGAGCGATCGCAGCGGTGGCTTCAGCACCGATTCTGGCTTTGGCAGCAGCAGCGGCAGCTCCATTGGCAGTGGTGGCAACTCATCATTTGTGCAGTCGGAGGCGAAGATTGTGACAGTCAAGGCGGCCCAGTTAGTTGACATCATTGATTATTTCCCCGTCAAGCCTATCCTAATTTGTAATTAATCTCTCTCTCTCTCTGTCTCTCTCGCTCTCTCTCTTTCTTGCGTATAGGAAGCCCGTCTCCCGCAATGCTCTCAAGTTGGGTGGCAAGTCCAAGGATGTGGACAGTTTTGTGGATCAGCTGAAAAGCGAGGGCGAGAAGATTTCCACTCTGGTACCAGCGGCTGCACCTGGCAGCTCCGGCGCAGCGGCCAATGCCAGTGCAGCGGCAAAAGCGAAAATCTCAGCGGATATTCATACAGAAAGGTACATCGATAGTTTAAATCGATCCTGCTTGAAACTGTGCAAATTTTGTATGAGTTTTTTGTTTTTTATTTGTTCCTTTGCAGTGTGCATCTCAAAATGGAGGATAAGCTGGTGGTGCGTCTGGGACGTGATGGTGGCGTTCAGCAGTTTGAGCTAACTGGCTTGCTAACGCTGCGCATTACCGATGAGAATCTGGGACGTATCAAGGTGAAGCTGGCCAATAACGATGCACAAGGCATACAGCTGCAGACACATCCAAATGTTGACAAGGAACTGTTCAAATCGCGCGCCATGATCGGACTCAAGAATCCAGCCAAGCCGTTTCCCCTCAACACCGATGTGGGTGTGCTCAAGTGGCGTTTCATAACGCAGGACGAATCGGCCATACCATTAACCAGTGAGCACTTCTCCACATCTCTGCTCGCCAGCTGATTTTACAATTATTTTACACACATTCATTCTGTTTTTCTGTCTCTATTCAATTCATTAACACTCAGTTAACTGCTGGCCTTCAGACAATGGAGAAGGCGGTTGCGATGTCAACATTGAATACGAACTGGAGACGCAGCATCTGGAGTTGCAGGATGTCGTCATTGTTATACCATTGCCGTAATTATTTCATCTTATTTAATGTGCCATCTTTGAGTTGCTAAAAATCAAATTTCCTTCGTATGCGCAGCCTGAACGTGCAACCTTCAGTGGCCGAATTCGATGGCACCTACAAATATGATGCACGGAAACATGTGCTGCAGTGGCAGATACCCGTTATTGATGCGGCCAATAAGTCCGGCTCGATGGAGTTTAGCTGCAGTGCCTCCATACCGGGCGACTTCTTTCCTTTGCAAGTTTCGTTCGTCTCGAAGACGCCGTATGCGGCTATTAGCGCGCTAGATGTTGTACACGTGGATAACGATGAGTCTGTCAAGTATTCGAGCGAAACGATGCTCTTTGTGGAGAAATACGAGATCGTTTAATGCCACACAACACACATACGTAGATACACTATCTGTTGGCAGTAATATATTAGTATATATAGTTTCAATACATACTTTATTTTTTTTTTGCAGCAATTCTTTCGCATTATGTACGATTATATATATATATATGTTAAAGCTATGTTTATAATACTTATCTATTCACCTACATACATATATATATGTTTTGAAAGGGCGTATGTGTACGCATTCAAGCCGATGAAGCGCTTCTGAAGTCGCCACCATGGTCAACAGTTATTCCACACAACTATCATAGAGCATAAAACATTCAATAAAATACAATAAATATTTTATTAATTGCACGGGTTGCGCATTATTTATTTGATATAAAAGAAACAACAACATTAATACAAATATGCAGTTGGCCTGTAATTATTCAAGTAAATTTCAAATTTCTAGTGTCGGTCAAATTAGAGGAGTGCTGCAAGGTGCTTGTTCTAATCACATTATGCAACACTTGCGCGAGTTGGCAGTCCGATATTGTGATAGCCAGTTATCGATAGTCAAGCTCTTTACAGGCATTGTTTTGGTTTATTCATTGTTTTCATTTTGTACGAGTGTTGGGGGCAATTGTGATATTAGAAGAGAACAGAATGGAAGAGCAGTTGGAAAAAGTGTTGAGCGAAATGTACGTGCTGCATATATTTAAGCACTCTATCTATCAATTTACTAACTTGTTGCTTTGCAGCGTAACACAACATGACACGGTGGGTGCATTATTGGCGAATCGGCAAGGATTGTGCTTGGGTGGTGAGTAAGATAAAATATAAAATACATGCATACGCATACAAACATATTCACTTTGTTTTCGTTATCTGTCAATAGCCAAGGGCAATATCAATCCCAATGTATCCGGTATTGGAATGGCCATTTCCGAGCAGGTGGCCAAACTGGAGCCAAACAACACTGTTCCCGCAACTATTTGTTTATACAGCGGCAATAAGTAAGTCAGAAATGTGTGTACAGCTAGCTGTATTCTTAAGAGTCTCATACAAACTTGTCTCCTGTTTTTGGTTTAATCAGGCGCTGTGTCATACAAAAAGATGGTGAAATAACTGGCATCATATATAAGCAAACAGCAACAACATCGACGTCGGCCACCAATTAATAAACAGTTGCCCATAATCAAGGATCGTCATCATAGGCCAAAGTAAGACATATATCTTCCAAATGCGCTCGCGAGCATTGCAACAATAGCTGGATAGATAGATTCATAGCTAAAGCCATAGCCATTGCCACCGCAGCCACAGAAACAACAAAAGTCCACACAGTTCAGCCGAATCGCTAATATCAATTTGAGCTGCTGTTCTCGTTTTATATTAAATTGCCTAAAATTGTATTGATTTTGATTATCATCGTAATTATTGTTAATATTATGTTGGGTGATTTTTTTTGTTCCGTAGCTTTAAGCAAGATCAATTATGCGCTCTATACTCTATTACAGATTAATACAGTTTAGCAGACATGTATTTGTATATAAACATTTTGCACGATTTCGACTTTGAGTGGTGAAAGCATAATTCCACATACATGCACACACATACATACACAAAGACTATATATATATTAAAATACATTGTAATCCGAAAAACAATAATATTGTGCAATTTTGTAATTATTATTGACTATTTATCAATAGAGTTGGGCCTTGTCATTCTAACGCACAGTGAATTCCTTTGAAAATCTGTACAGATTTGATCAAGTTTGAGGTGTGTTCTAAAAAAAGTATGTAATTGCCTTCTCCCGTTGCTTGATCCAAAAAGTATGCTTTAAAATTGTATTTTCCGAAATTGGCTTCGATTTTGTTGCTCATCCTAAAAATATGCAGTATAATTTGAGTTGAATTGAAATTGTCTTCACCGGATTATATGCACCTAATTTATGGTGATCGTTATGATTTTTGTAGATGTTTTCAAATCCATAAAAATAGCATTTAATAGCATTTTTATAACCTTTCAACGGTTATTGCTTCGTTTTGGGTTTAATTTTCTTAAATCTTTTCAAGCCACCCACAACAATCACTGAAAATAACTATGGATGAGCAAAAAAGGCGAGTCTTATATGTTTTATCGGTAGCCATCCATAATGAATATGTATTTATGACTATGTTTGCAATTACTCAACCACAACGGCGCCTGTACGTGCTTTACTCAAACCTCTTCAAATTTTCCGGATTGAGCAATGTTGAGGAAATGCAGACCGCCTACGACAAAAAAAAAAATATGAAAAAAAAAATGATATATTATCGTCATGCAATATGCAAGATACATGCAATAATCTCGCAGAAACGCCAAACAAATTGCAGTTAATTTCAACCCACAAGTTTTTTTTTTCTTTTTTTATCTATTTTTTTTTAAATAAACTTTTTTTCTGGTTTCTCTTAATTTGTTAATATTGTTTCGCTGAATTGAAAGTCGTGTGACAAGATGGATCAACTGTCAGCGCAAAAGTCTGATGAACAAATTAAGTTTTGACGCCGATTTTGGCCAAATGTGTTTTTTGTTAACATTTATCGTTTTCGTGGCGGCTGGTAGTGCCACATGGCCACATGGCCACATGGCCACCAAGGGAGTTTGTTGCCGCTGCCACTAAACGAGTTTCCTATTGCCGCTGTGATTCGCTCGTATTTCAAAATTTTCGGCCACTAAAGCAGTTAGTGTTTAGCTATCAGAGTGTTTGTTATTTGCCAGCAGACTATATATGAAAAAGCCGCACAAAAAACATTTGCCCATTAGGCCCATTAGCCAGGTGGGAATATTGTCGAGTTTGAGATTAATGTTTAGTTGATGTCTGCAACTGACGAAAGACAGTAAATAAATATTATGTGCACGATATTTGAGAAAATCAATTAACAGTGCACACGACACCGATACAGATAATGCAATGAGAGAAAAAATAAAATATATATCAAATAATTATTATATATCACTATTAACAAGCAATTTTTGTTTCGAAGCCGACTCAAATAATATCTCAAATAACGACTATTCACTTAACAAATATTTTTGAAATGTCCTGGGCAATTCGAGTTGAAGGCTTTCTGGGAAAATGCAGCACAAAGTTTAGTTAACTGTTTATAAAGTACATGCACCCATGGGCAAATATTTGTAGACATGTGCAAGTATTTCAGAACGAACAATATTCGGTCAATATTTGTTGTGCTCAAGTCGAAAATGGAAGCAGGCAAACAGAATGCATGCTACTTGTGCAAATGATGAAAAATAATCCATGAACAAGCTTATGCAAATATATTTACTCTGTCAAATAGCAATGCTTAAACACGCTTTATGCGTATTTATTTACATCTACACGCACGCCATGCATGCCTCCATATCTATATATGTAATTATGTATTTGCATATTCGCTGGTATACATTTATTTACATTTCGGCGATGAACTTGTTGCCAACAGCAGCCTTGAACTTTCACTAACAGCAGCAGCAGCAGCAACAGCAGCAGCAGCAACAGCAGCAGCAGCAGCAACAGCAGCAGCAGCAGCATTGCTGCCAATTGTCCAGGGGCATTTTGTGTTGTTTGTTGTTAATATGGAGTGTTGGGGCGGCCCACATGTTTGTGGCTCAGAAACTTGAAAAGTAGGAGACAGTGTTGCGTAGGTGCTGGTTGTGGGTGTTGCGAAAGGCAAATAGACTTGCAACTTGCGCAACTCTTCACACGCATGCATATAACTCGTTGTCGCATTCACCGCGAATTAAAGCAACGAAGTTCGATAAGCAAAATGCGAAATTTGCCAGTCAAGGCGGGTTTATTTAGCCAGTTAGCCGGCCAAAGCCACTGAAAGCCTTCAACTTGACTATGAGCGTTCAATGGAGTTCAGCAGAGCGGCGTCGTTGCTAAATGGTTGTGCAGAGCGAGGGGGGGTGGCATGGGAAAGCTAACAGCTAACGAAAATGCTGCACTTTCGTTTTCAGGGAACCATCAATGAAGCAGCTCGAGAAGCAGAAGCAGAAGCAGAAGCAGAAGAAAAAGAGCAAACGGCCAAAAAAGTAAAGAGAAGAAAACCAGCAGCTCCGGTTCATATCAAGAAAAGCCAGCTGGTTGGCTGCCAATGTAATAATGCCTTTCCCTTTTGATAGGTGTAAGTATGAATGGTATATACGTATGTGTGTATGCATGTATGTATGTATGTATGTGTGTGTGTATGTGTGTATGTGTGTACATAGCAAGAGCAACAAACGAAATGCAAAAGCGAAAGTGAGAAAGGCAGCCGAAATGATCAGCTGTATGTGGCCCAAACTGGAGCAGAAAATATATATACATACAAAAAAAAATGTATATATATATATATATATGTATGTATGCATATAGATATATATGTATTTGTATTGTCGCGAGTTTTCCAAAAATAACAACAAAGCATTTTCGTTAGCTGTGCTCATCGCGGATGCTTGCAACATTTTTCAAATAGTTTTTCATTAGATTTGTAGCTGGAAGTTGTTGACTCTTGACCACAAGCTCATTTTCAGGCATTTTCAGCTGATTTATACACAATTTGCCATAAATCACAACTAGATACATGCTATGCAGGTACATACATACATACATACATACACACATATATATATATATATGTATTCAGTTGAAAACAAATCGAAATAAGCTAAGAATTATGTATGTGACCAGTGTTGGCCCCTAGACGGCTTACGCGACTTGAGTTATGCCAAACATAAACATATTTTCATGGCAATATTTTTCGACGACATGATAAATCTTTTACGCACTTTTTTGTGAAGCATCTCTGTATATATATATATATATATATTTGTTGGCTAAATGGCGATTTTCTACACATGGCTTTCAATTTTGCTATTGTTCTTTGTTGTAGTGTTCGCAAACATTTTACTGGCTGCTCTGCTATCCAACAACACACACTTTCTCTCTCAGAAAATGACACAGTTTGTCAGTTTGTCAGTTCGACTGGTTATTGAACTCTTTTACTCAGCTACATAAATTGCACATCATTCGAAATAGAATTCAATTTGATTGAATGCAAATTGAAATAGTCGCAATAGTTTTGTACAAACAAACACAAACACACAGAAATATTGGGTGTGGAAAATTATGTCATATGGCCGGTTAATCGCCAAACTTAGCCAAACTTAGTCACAAATCGATGGTTCCACAAATAATCACGTCACCGAAGACCAAAAATGACGACATTTGGCCGGCAAACGCCAGCTTCAGTTTCAAGTATGTACAAATAGACATATATATATATACATATATATGTATATATGTGCAAGTATGCACAGCACATCGTTGTATTCGCTGTATTGTTCACGAATTGTTTTTGTTTCATTTCGATGTTGTATAATGGACGACAAACATAGGCGCCAACAATTGCAGGTGTTGCGCGCTTCCATGACAAATCACGTTCTGCTCAACAGTAGGGGTACTCACTCACTCATTGCACTAATAAATCGACAAACTGTCGATCCTATTTAAAATTAGCAAATGAGCAATCTCAGCTTATCCATCCATTCCATCCATTCAAACATTATTATATTATTTGGTATTGTATTGTTTCTGTCCGTTTGTAAATTGTCTTGCAAAACTTGTTATTTCGCCGAAAATGAAATGATATTTAAAATAAACTCTATCATATTACGACATTCAACATTTTCGTTGAAGAAATGATGGGGCGCATGATTCATGCCGAGCTCGTCTCTTCCATATTTGGCTAAATCACAAATTTATTGCTTATACCATATATTATACATTGCTGAACTCAGTTAAAACCAAGCTGTGAATCATGCGGCTAATTTGAGCAGTAAGGATTTCCAATCAAGTCAATTGCTTCAAGTTGAAATTTAAGAATTGTCAACATGATCAAGCGAGAATGGGGGCAGAGAGGTCGACATCGTTTTGTGGCACAGGAAGAGACACAATCAGAAACGAAGAGAGACAGAAGACTCCGACAAGCCAGCAACTAATAACCATGGGGAAGAATCTGAAGTCACCTAACCAAACTAGTTGCATAGGTTGTGTAACAGCGAGGAAGAATCCTCAAGGCACATCCCAGCAGAGCACAGTGTGTCGCCTTAACTAGAAGAAGATGCAGCATTCCAGTGATGCACGCTATGAGCTCCAATGGCATAGAAGCCCTCAACCCAGCTAAGATGCTCGCAATCGTGCAGAGAGGGAGGGCTCAGAGGGAGGCATAACAGATCTAGTAGGTCGCAGTGCAGGTATCCCAATAATAACACAAATAATAATAATAAATTTAGGATTTGTGTATTCTTTATTTAATGTCTTTCACACCTTTGCCATGTTATCACAAATTGTTGTTTATTATTGATTATTTTCAAGCAAAGAATTCTTGGTTGGCTCGGTTAATAAACGTGGTCGGAAAAATGTAGTTAATAATGGGTAAGGACATGCTTAGAGGGTATCTCATAGCCGATCTGTGATGAGTAGGGAACGATTGCTCTTATTATTTTTTGTGTTTATCAATTGTGAAACGTCCTAGAAATATAGAGAATTTAGGCAAATGCCAAATGGCAAATGGACATGGAAACTATTCAAATAATTCGCCATAAATTGCTTAGTTAATCTGCGTTCGTTTTCAGCAGATTCGAATTGCATAATATATATACATATATAGATATACACACATTCTAGCAATGTTTATTTATTTCTCTCTCTGTCTCTCTGTCTCTGGCTGTATTGTAGAGCAGTAGGGTGAGGGTGTAACACACACATACATCACATAGATACAGCTACAGATACAGATACACACACACAGATACACATTGGCAAATGCATGATACTTTGTATTATAAATTTACGCTCGCCTGCCGGATTTATCGTCAGTTGTCTAAACACATCTCGGACATGTCTTTTGTACAATTAAAAACAATCGATGCGATTTTTCGCACAAATGTGCCAAACACGAACATTCAATTTATATTTAGTCGATCGCCTTCGTACGTCAAATGATAGCGCTGCAAACGCTTCGCCGTTCACCTGTCTCACCGCCGATCCCAACTACCGCCCCCGCCCCCCTCCCCTGCCAACCAATTGACCTCACACCCGCCGAGCCACCCCTGTACAAAAGGGTTGTAGAAAAAAACAGAAAATAAGTTGAAGATAATTAAATAAAAGCAAATAAAAGAAAAACGAAAATCAAAATCAAAACAAATACAAATGGGAGCAAAGGTGGGGAGTTGCCTGAAGCAAAGGGTGGGCGGGGGGCAGGGGGTGGGTGGTTGGTGACGGATTGTTTGCTCCACTTCATCAATTCATTGGCAAAAGAGCAAGCGCAACCAATTTACAGATGTCGTCATCTAAATCACTTTCTACTTTCACTGCAACACACACACGCACACACGCACACACACAAACTCACTCACACAGGTACTGACGAACATGTACAATATTATTCACGCACGCACACATTAGCAAAAAGGACAGAGACAATATTGAAATGTCCGCTTTTAAAGGAAGACAATGAAACGATATCTTCAAAGTTAACCTTTGTCAGCTGTTGACATCCAAGATCCCTTTCTTTCCTACAAATACTCTACATATATACACATATATATATATATGTAGACTTATATACACACATATATATATATATATACATATATCTTTACATATATGCCATGCAATGCCTTTAACATTATATTGGTTGCTGTGCTTTTCGTTATTTTGGCTGTTGCGATTGATTGGCGCTGGGTGGCAATGCTTGAGCACTACTTCCTGGTTGCTCAGTTGAGCAAATAATTTATGGCTGACGCCCTCAGCCTCAGCTGTGCACACAGCAGACAACTAACGCAACCCAACCCAACCCAACCCAACCAATTTAACGCACTGCCAGAGTGAGCCCCCATCCGATCTGAATTACTTACAGCAAACAACCAAAAGATTATCTTTGCATTACAATAGCTGTTGTTGTTTTGTTGTTGCCTTGTTGTTGCTTTGTTGTCGCTTTGTTGTTGCCTTGTTGTTGCTTTGTTGTTGCTTTGTTGTTGCCTTGTTGTTGCTTTGTTGTTGCTTTGTTTTGTGTGTTTTGCTTGGGTTTGGTTGGTTTCTGCGAGCACTTTCACATCTTGCATTGACCTCAAATTGAGTCGGCCCAGTTTGAGGTGGCTTTGGGGGCAACATGGATATGAAGGTGGCATTTACAGGTTCATGTCACAGCTGCTGCTGCCTCCTGCCTGAAATAGTCAGTAATCTGGCTGAGAACTTCGAATAGGTTCTCAATTTGAGCTAGACTATTACTTAAATCGTTCCGATTGACCGACTGAGTGCTGAATATCTGAGTAAATAACTGATTTAAATTGAGTAAATCATTTTGAAATCAGGTTGCCAACCTGCAAATTGCCCCGTCGAAACAGCTTCAATTAGATGCCGTTCTGCGTCCTGCGATTGTCCAGTTCAGGCAGGATTATAATAGATTATTATAGAGGTGCCCCCGATAGCCCACAGAATAAAAAGAAAGTGTGAAATGTTTTTGTTTTTGTAAATGTTATATCGTTTTGAAAACAAATGAATGTTTCTTTTATTTTCTGCATCGTTTTCAATTCTTTTGTATTGTTTATATCTTTTCTTTTTTGTTTTTTGTATTTTGTATTTTGTTTTTTGTATTTTTTTTTTTTTTAATATATGCTTTTTGTTTGTTTTTGCTACTCTTTGCGTGTGTCAATCAACAACTGCATTAGCATTTTGATATAGAAAAATACATTCGCATCTTTTGTTGTGCAACTGCGTATCTGACAGATTCAGATACAGATACAGATATAGATATAGATACATATATTATCTGTGCGCTGGTTGCTGCTAGGAACATCAATTCAATGTGTTGCTGTTGCTGCTGTTGCAGTTGTTGTTGTTGTTGTTGGTTGCGTGAAGAGTAGAAAAACATATTCGTTTGTCAACGTTTTGCCTTGGAAAGACAATCGATTGCTGCATCATTATTACAATAGTAATAATAATTATGATAGTTACAAAAAGAAATTACAATATTTATAATAGTTCTAGCAATAAACATTACAATTGCTTAAATCTTAAATGTTTACACTAACAATTGTTGTTGTTGTTGTTTTGAATGCGATGTTGTTCAATGTAAAAATTATACACTTGAAGAAATTTTCAATGAACTTTGCATGTAAAATTGGCATGAATTCGTTAAATAAATTAGGCGTGTCCTAAAAACTAGTCGGCGAACAAAAGAAACAAAATAAAAATAGTACAAAAAAAAAAAAAAACAGAAAAAAAAAAACGTTAAACATAATTTAGTCGATAGGAAACTTAACTTAACTTATATGTCGAAATGTGTGTAAATAGTAATCCAACTTAACTATTCATTTCTCTTTCTTCATATATATGAGATGCTTCATTCGTACTTTATATCTTATGCAAAGTGTGACGAAAAATAATAATAATAATAATAATAATCATAATCATTTAATATAATAATGAATTCAGTAAACAAGCAAATCGTTTAAATGGAGTGATTTTTGTGCATTTTATATTTCTTTTTTCTTTTCTTCTTTTCTTTTGGAACATTTCAATTTTGATTAGGTGTCGCGCAGTGTAAACGGTATCTATTTCTACATAGATATATATATTTTCGATATTCTTCTTTTTTTTTCTTTTCTTTTCTTTTTTTTGTTTTGTTTTTGTAAATATGTGAGAAAGTGAAAAAAACATCACAGCTAAAACTTCAGTACATTTTTCTTGTGGTTACTTCGAAATCAACTAATAAAAAATAAACGAAAAAAAAAAAACAAAATGTGTATATATATATATACATACATATATATATACATATGTATTATGTGTGTGTGTGTGCGTGCTTACAATTGATAGTTGTGCGATTGGATAGATATATATATATATCATTATATATATATATATATACATATATATATATATAGGTTTCGTATAGCTAAAAATAGACTTTGCTCTATATAAGCAACATAATTGTCATTATTTGTTATCGTTGTTGTTGTTGCTGTTGGATTTCCTCTCAGTTCGCTGCTCGCTCCCCTTGCCACAAATGTTGTGAATGATGCTGATGACGATGATGATGTTTGTGCTGCTGGTGCTGCTGCTGGTGCTGGTGGCTGGCAGACCAAGCGAACGTACACTGAGATTGAATAGAGGAGGCGAACGCTGCGTTGCGCCTCCCCCGCACAAGCAAAAAAAAGCAACAAAAAAAAGCAACAAAAAAAAAGTGTAGATTTATATCTAAAATTAGTCAGCTACAACTAAGCAAACAGCTTACAGACTACAAGTACTTCTTGGCCCCGCCCACAAGACGCAAAATAAAAAAAAGAAAAAAAAGAAAATGAAATGAAAAGCACATTAACCACGCTAAAACCCCTGAAACCGAACCCGAACCCGATCGCGATTCCCAATCCGAATCCGATTCCGAATCCGATCCGTGTGTGCTTTAATCGTCCCAGCTGGAGTCGGCTTCGAGCTCGCAGCGGACACGCCACAGCATCAGTTCCATGCAGGCACGCGAATCCTCGAAGCTGCTGTGTCCCGTCGCCCCGTCGCCGCTTTGAATCTCCCGATTCAGATGCGTCTTGGTCAGGTGACGCAGCGCACGACGATATGGAAAGCCGCTCGAATGGGGAAACGCAATCGATGTGTCGATCAGCGTATGATGCACCAGTCGCAGCGCACGCAAATCATTATCGAGTCCGTGACCGATCAGTATGGTGTCGGCATCGATCAGTTCGAGCAGATCGCGCTGCACCTCGGCCAGCGTTTTCACGCCAGACGATCTGAGATCCTTGGCAGTGACGCCCGAATACCGTGTATTATAGTCAACAATATCGGCATCGGGTCGCACATAGTGCTCGTACACCAGCTGGCCATTGAGCGCCACCAGCGACACTTTGGTCACATCGAGACCACGGCCCGTGTAGCTCATCTCGCAGTCCAGCGCATACACGGCCTGGCTGGCCGCCGTTGTGGGCTGGAGGCGCGGTCGGGTGTGGACAAAGTCGTGATATGGTCCATTCACACCGACCACTGAGCCGCTCCACACGTGCAGCTCGTTGCGTGTGCAGCAGCGTGCCGTCTCCGATGTGGCACTGCAGCAGGTCCAGCGACTGATCCAATTGCTGCCGTCGTAGCAACGATGATACTTGCCCCAATGATAGCTGCACTCCTCGCGCGTCATATACTGGCCGCTCAGCTCGTCGACGAGGAAGTCCCGCTTGCAGCGCACACACTCCTTGGCCAGGCGCCGTTCCGTTGGCATTGCGCCCGTGGTTGTGGTATAGTTGCAGTACAACTGCAGGCCGTAGCAGCTGTTCGCATCGGCATCGGCATCGGCACTGGGCGCACTCGATTCGCACTCGCTGCCACTCCATTCGCCGCCGGACTCGGAGTCGAGGGATCGCGGCGATATGTTGCCCGAATCGGTTGGGGTGCCGCGTGGAGTGGCGCCGTTCAGTGTCGTCTCATTGCTGGTGGCCTCCTCGTAGTTGCACGTGTTGAGGCCGTCGTGGCAATTGATGACGGTCAGTGCCGTCTCCGTTACGGACATCACGTGTGCCGCCGCAAAGCTCATGTGTGGCAGGCACTTGAAGATTTCGATGGCGCCCTCCTGAACAACACTTGCCACCGGATAGCCGTAGACGCGCAACAGATTCGGATCGATCAGATGGCGGCGCAGCTGTTGCAACACTGCATTATCGTCCAGCGCCAAGCGTTCATATTGCCTCAGCGGTGGCACTAGAAAGTTAACATTCTGTCTCTGTCGCTCCCACTTGCTGATAATGCTGCTGTTGCCACTGCTGCTGCTGCTGTTGCCACTGCTGCTGCTGCTGTTGCCCGGTGAGCTGCCTGGGGAGCTCAGCGCCGAGGAGGAGTTTGAGCTGCAGTTGTTGTTGTTGCGGTTGTTGTTGATGCGGTTGTTGCTGCTGTGGCTGCTGTTGCTGCTGCTGCTGCTACTCTTGTTGTTGTTGCTGTTGTTGTTGCTGTTTGGTTTGTTGCTGTGGTTGCTGCTGCTGTTGCATTTGGTTTGCTTTGCTTTGCAATTGCTGCTGCTGCTGTTGGGTCGCTGCTTCTGATTGCAATTGTTGCTGATGCTGCTGATATTGCTGCTGTTGCTGCTGTTGCTGCTGCTGCTGCTGTTGTTGTTGTTGCGCCACTTGCCCTGCTGCTTGCACTTACCGTTAACATTGGCATGAACATTAACATTGACTTTGTTGGTCTGCTGCTCGATTGTGGTGGCAGCAGCTGTTGCAGCCACTGTTGTCCTATTGTTGCTGTTGCTGCTGCTGCTGCTGCTGTTGCTGTTGCTGCTTGTCAAGTATTGCTTCGATTTCTGTTGTCGCTTGTTGCGTGCTTTGTTGTTGCCCCCACTGTTGTTGTTGCCGTTGCCGTTGCCATTGCTGTTGCCATTGCTGTTGCTGTTGCTGTTGTTGTTGTGGTGGTTCAAATTGGTCGCCCTTTGACTTTTGATTGGCTTGTGCAGCTGCTCGTCGCTGGAGTTGATGTCCTCGCTGGTCGTCTCGCTGCTGGTGCTATTCCGATGGCCGGGATTGTGTTGACCCAGATATTTCTCTGTATAAAAACAAAAAACAAAAACAAAAAAGACAAAAAACATTAATTTAATTCATTTGTTCATTTCAAATGGGATTTTAATGGAATTGAAAACATCAGTCGCAAACGAGTTCTTTGCGCATAAAACGAAATTCTTATTTGGCAATAGAATATAACTAACAAGTCAACATTAATTTGGAACAAAACCGTTTCCAGTGCCAATAACTAGATTAAGCTAATTATTCAGGCAACTAGTTCTTATGCAAAAATCAGTTATACAATGAGTTGTAGTAAATTTGGCTGACGTCAATTTACGCTTGCCAATTGTCAAGGGTGATAACACAATCAATGTGTGTGTGTGTGTGTGTGTATCTGTGTGTGTGTGTGTGTGCTGGCCTATTGATGGCTTTTATCAGCTGGTCGCAATCAAATGCTTGCCACGTGCTTTCTTTTATATATTTTGAAATGTGTTTTGTGCGTTTGTGTCTTGTTCTGATTAAGTAATACTTTGTTCAAGATATCCACAGACTTGATGAATGGGCCATATATATATATATATATATACAAATATCTATATCCATCGAAATGAAGTCAACTTTTAGGGTAGCTGTGCGTCGGGCATGTTTGCATTTGTTCAAAGTCTACACAAGAAACTGTCTACGCATGGCTTAAGATAGCAGCTTGTGTCTATACTTTGATGTCTGACAACAACAACTACAACAACAATAACAACAATAACAATTATAAATAAATAAATAAATACAGCTTTTGCGCTGCCTGCTGACTGGTATTATTACAAAAGACGAGCATTACTCATTATCAACGGAATTATTATAAATAAATTTGTGACTTCCGCATTTTGTGGCTCATCAGCTGCCTTTACACCAGATACTGCAGTAGAGAGAGCGAGAGAGAGACACAGAGAGAGAGACACAGAGAGAGAGGGACAGTAAGAGAGGCCGGCTTGTGTTGCCAGGCAAAAGCTAGAGCCAAAACCAGGGCTGGCTTGGGCGTTGGGGCAGGGTTCGTGCTCATTTGTTGTCCGATTTCACACGACACGTGCAGCTCTGATTGACTTAGCTGCTTCTCAGCCACTCAAATTTTGTTATAACATTTACATTAATAAATTAGCTGATGTTCTCTAACAACAACAACAACAACAATTTGTTACATCTCTTTGCAATTGCCAATTTGTTTGGTTTTCTCGCTCTCCGAGACAATTTCACGCCTGATAAAATCTACGCATTTCCTCAAGCACATCAATCATATACACCGATATATATACATCTATATACATATATGTATATACATCTATATACACTGCTCGAACTTTGAGTTTGTTGACTCTGCACTGGCCACTGAAGGACATTCCGATTGCTTATGTGGAACTCAATTTTGGCATCATAGTTGCTGCTGCTGCTGCTGTTGCTGCTGCTGGGCACGTGACCTGAATCGCCAATTAAGAGGGGAATGGAGGGGGGGCAGGGGGTAGGTAGCCAATAAGCAGCTCAATCGTTCGCTTTGCATGTCAAGCAAATTTCTCCGCACAAAAACATAAATCACGCATACGCCGCGTTTGCCCAGCAGGCAGCAGCAAACGACAAACGACAAACGACAAACGGCAAGCGGCAAACGGCAAGCAGAGTAGCTGAGTGAGCCTCAATTAATGTTTACATATGTGCAACACGTACTTCAACACGCATTGAAAACTGTTTGGCCCCAAAAACCCCACCATCCTCCACCCCCTACATGCCTCCCTCACCACTCACCCCTCACCCCTTTCCCTGATTAGATAAACGAGCTTCCCGAACCCACAAACATATGTACACCTCCTCTGGCTCCGCCGGTGTCTCTGCCCGTCTCTGTTTATGTTTCGCGCTGCTTTATCACTGGCAACACACAAAACACACAAAACACAAACACAAACATGCGCCAAAATCTTCAACAGCCTTGAAAAATCATATAAAATGCATATGTATACAGGCATATATATATATATATATATATATGATTAAAACGTAAACATAACATAATAATTATGCGAGGTGCGTTTCACGTGTAGCTGCTGACATTAGCATTAGCAACATCAATTAATCACAGAGCTGCATACATCATATATATAAATACATAAATACATACATCATGTACATAGATACATACATCAAATACATATTAACCTGCCTTTGCCCTTTCTTCGGTTATGACAATTAATGCAAATATCACTTGTCAATTTATAAAAACTAAAAACAACTTGAAATAAACATATATAAAAATAAAAGCAAAAAATATATATAAAAAGCTTGAAATGTTTTCATTTTTTTAAACTTTTTAAATATTAATTTACGTTCATAATTAAGAATCAAGTTTGGTTGAACGTCATTATTTGTTTGTCATCATTTATAGAGCTATTTTTTGTATTATTCTAAATATTATTAAGAGGTAAATCATGCCAAGTAGTTTGGCGAATTGAAATCAGAACCGGGTATAAGAAACCCTCAAACCCTCAGACCCTCAGCTTTAATGAAGTAATGATGAACTGAAATCAAGATGGAAATCATTGTGGACTGAGAGAGAGATGACTGAGATGAAATGCCATTGGTTGAAGGCCTCTGAAGTAGTTCTCTCAAAAACTGGCATCTGATTAATGTCAAAGTCAAAGTTAAATAAAGCTTACAATGCTTTTTGTTGTTGTTGTTAGTTTTAATTTGCATAAAATTTTGCGAGTGTTACAAGACCAATGAGCAGCAGCAACAACCACAACAACAATAACACCAATAACAGCAATTGTTGAAAGTCCCTGATAAGATTGCACAGCGAAATACATAATAAGTTCAGCGATCTAAATGCTGATAATCGATGTACATATAAGTATATATATATATATATATAGGCATACCAGTAAATACAAATAATATATATGTTAAGCATTTGTTTTTTACCGATCCAAATAGAGGAATAAACTCCAACGAGTGTCGTAAATCGAGAACAATTATTTTTTAAATTGAGCTGGTTTCAGTTTCAGTTTTAGCTTTAGTTAATTATGGCAAGTGAAATGCTTTTTACAATAATAAAATAAATCAGAACTTCAAACTTAATTGCAACTCACAACTAGCCAAACACAAATTGAAATTGAGGATCTTTAAACTGAAACTTTGCCATTGATTTGCCCAGTTATCAGTTCAGTTTAGCCTGTCTTTTTTTTGTTTTGTTTTTTGTTTTTTGTGTTTTTTTGGCGCCCAGGTTTTTAGCTGCTTGCCGGCGATAAGATGTGGGCCACAAGCGCCTCAAATTTGTCGTCTAATTGTGGTTGTCAAGTGGACTTCTCGTTGCCAGGCCACTAATCAGGTGTGTGTGTGTGTGTGTGTGTGTGTGTGTGTGTGTGTGTGTGTGTGTTGGTGTGCGTTGGTGTGTGTGAAGGCGACTGCGGCCGGCAATCCCAAAGTTTTTAAAACAAACTACAATGCACTAGCCAATAGAGAAAGAGAGCTCGACTTGGAGATACCCTGCTCGTAGTTTGCTCAATATGAAATCATTATTACTTCGAGCAACATCATAAATCTCTATCGAAAGCGACAGTTGTCCTTTTGATTGCTATCGGAAAATGATAAATATCGATATTCGATAACTTTTACTTGAACTGCGTGTGGTATACGAAATCAGATATTAGAGTAACTCGACTGATCAGAGTATATATATATATAGCATAGAATATATACTTTCCTTCCTCTTCAGTCCGTTACATTCTCTCGCACAACATCCTTATACCCTTTTGCTCAATTTTTAATGGGTTCAGAGTATAAAACAAGTAAAACTGAATAAAGCACTCGATCCCACGATTATAAGCACTTAGAGTGTTTTTTTTCGCTTTTCGCTTTTGCCAAATCAATTAGCTTGTGAGAGAATGTCGAGTGCAACCGCGATGCAATTTGGCAAAGGGAAATGTGAGGCGTGTGGCAGGCAGGCAGGGGAGAGTGGGTGGCTGGGCTGAGTGATTATAAAGAGAGATGTTTGCATGTTGCAAAGCAGACAGCGACTACGCAATGTGACCCAAATTAATTGAGGCTTGAGGCGATTAAATTAGCATTGCCCAGCACAAAGCTTGGGCTTTATCACTAATAATTCCATTCAGTTGCAAAATTGTGTCAACAAGTCACACAACTAACTCTGTCTCTGTCTCTGTCTCTGTCTCTGTCTCGCTCTCTCTCTCTCTCTTTCAGTCCTGCTCTCAAGGCCCTGGCACTTCCTGTCCCTTGGCCAAAAGCAAGAAACAAAAACAACAACAAAAAACTTAGCGCCAAAAATGCTCAAATAACAAAAAAATAAATAAAAAAATAATAATTATAAAATAAAAAAAATAAGTAAATAAAACACATGAAAATAATGGGATGCAGAGACGAACTCTTGGACTCTATATACATATATATATATCTGACTATGTCTGGCTGTTGCTAGTTGGGGCTTTATGGTTATGCTAATGTGTTTGAGGCACTTCCACAGTTGATGGCTCCATGCGTGCAATACGTGACAATGTGTCGAGCTTTGGCTAAAATAGTTGAGTTCGCTTTTGAAATTTGAACTGTTATGCATTTTGGGCACAGCAGCCCAGAAATTGAGCTGGATGTGATTGGCTAGCAGACACCCTACTAATATGATCTATGGGTTTATCGATTAAAAATGTTTTGGGTATCGAATTCCTGTTCTAAATTTCAATCGCTTTATTTCTCTAACTCTATTCTATTTCTTATGCAACTATTAAAATAAATGGCTTGTAAACATTTTAGGCAATTACAGGGTATAAAACCGAGTACCAAAAAGACGATTCGATAAAGTGTGAGCCGCACTAAAGATGGCATTGCAAAAATACAATTAGATACGATTCCACTTTGTATAATTATAATTGGAATAACGACGAGTGGCTGGAAGATTGTCTGTAATTGTAATGTTGTTGGCCTGTCATAATACTGATTAACTGGAGAATGTACATCCATAGATACATGTGTACTTTGTATCTGTGTAGATAATGACAACGATCTAATTGATAACTGCACCCAAATCGCACGAGAGAAGCTACAAAGTGCAGTCGAGCTAGATAAGCACAGATCAACAGGTGAACAGGTGAACAGATGAACAGGTGTACGTGTACTTTGAGTTCCGGATCTGGGCAGACCCTATAGGAAGTTGCACCTACAATGCAGACATAGATACACATCAAAGATAGCAGTCACACAGAGATAACAGTGCAGAAACAGCGCTTCTGATAAGCAACAGTTGTATAAGAAGTGATTATGCATATCTATATCTATGTATGTATCTATATAGCTATGCTTACCCTTTGCAGATCTAGCCCTGGATACAGATATGATATGATGTGATCTTTATCTGGCAGTTGTTGCTGACGGGCAAACCTATTAACCTTGAAATCAGCTCTTTTTTAGCCTCTTCTTAATGGGCTAATGATGAGAGCACAACTGTGTGTGTGTGTGTGTGTGTGTGTGTGTGTGTGTGTGTGTGTGTGCGTGTGTGTGTTATGCCACAACATATTCCCTCAACTACTGGCTGCCACTGAAAAAGGCAAGCGAAATGAGTTCAAGTTGTTTTTCTGCTCGCTTTGCACCATCTGCGGATTACACAGACGCCGCCACCATCTGCCTCCCTCCGCAGTGAACCAACCCCTCTCCGCCCGCCCCCTTTGCTATGGGTAACCTTAGGCGGTGCAGCGAGGCGTGAATTGTGCAGTAGCTGCAACAATTGCTCCGCAGGCAGCATTGACTTAATTACACACATAACAAGGTGAACCATAAAGCGTTGATTTCAGATTTCAGATTTCAGATCGGCCGACTTCATTCATTGGCAGTCAAGTTTTGCGGAAGCGAACCAATGAAATAACATAATTACTGAAATCTTATCTAATTGTATCAAATCAGAGAGCTAAAGCCAAATATATAATTCGAATTGAGAGTGGCAGCTCTGCGATTCTGTGCCAAGTCTGCCAAGCAGATGCTGGCCAAAAATGGCTCAAACATCGTCTGAGAATTATAGGCAAATCAAGTGTAAATATTGCAAAGAGCGAGAAGAAAATCGCTTATCTAAAATATATAGCCAGATTCAATTGAAGCTGTTAACACTTCTTAATCAGTTTGCGCTTGCTTATAGAAAATAGGAAATCGAAATGAAAAACAAAGTTCAATTGATCAATTGAGACTTCCAGTTAATATTGTATATATAAATATATATATTTGTATATATGTATGTTTTCAGCAGAGATGTGATCTTTTCAACAACAATTCAAATCTATAGAATTATAATAAAGCTGCTGCTGCTGCTGACCCAAGTGCTAATCAATGACAAAACGAACAACTTATGTAACCTGACCAGACCAGGCCAGGCCAGACCAGGCCAGGCCAGAGCAGACCAGGCCAGGGAGAGCGAGGTAAATTACACAAAAATGAAAAAGAGGGAAACTAATATTAAACTGATTGTTGGCTTGGCACGTGAAACACCGTCAGTGACTCAGGCGGGGAACGGGCACAAATGGGGCGTGGGGAGTGGGGCGTGGACGGGCAGGTTGGGTTGGGGTTGTGGCTAACCGAGAGATGTGAAACGCTAATCAGCTGATTCTGCTACGAGCGTATTGCGTCTTAGAATGTTATTGTTATTATTGTTCTTTGCTATAAATAAATGCGAAAAAAACACTAACAAAAACGTTGCTGGAAAGTTTTTTTTAAAGTTTTTATGAAATGAAAACAAAATTGAGAAATTAACTATTCAAAAAAGAAAAGACAAATCTATATTAATAAAAACGAGAGTATTGAATGGGTGTCTGTCTATATCTGTCTATATCTATCTGTGTGTGTGTGTGTGTCTGCTGTATAAATAAATGTATATCTACAATAGATAGATATAGATTTGGGCCATCCGGCTATGCCATATGCAACTCACAAAGTAGCAGATATATATATATATATCGCAGCTATATAAATCAAAACTGCTTATACTAAATCAATATGTATATAAATAGAGTGTTGAGGCATTTTACTGTTGATATCATTGGGTTAATAATAATATCATATCATACCATATCATATCATAATCGTATCGTATCGCGCTCATTTCTAGATTGCAGATAAGCTACGAGAATATATATATTAAAGATAATAGCAACACAAATTTCGTATATTGATTTTTTGCACACACTCTGCGAAATTGATGACCAAATTATGAAATATCAATTTCGAACTACATTTTGTTCAAGGCAAATCAGTTAATGGTCACAACTTGCATTTATATTTCTAGTTTCTCTAGCTTTTACTCTCAGATTGTGCTTTCTCATCACGCTTTTGTTTATTTGTTTATCTAATGAAGCGAACGTCTTTAATACCCTGTGCCCATCAAAGCCATGCATAAATCGGGTATAATGAAGTTGTGCAAAAGTCGAGCCCGTCTTGCTGGATCCCATAAAAGCTTATCACACTTTTGCGATGATTAATTCGATACAAATCGATATTCGATAACGATAGTAAAGATATTGCCTGCCCATTAATAGAGAATACACCTGTAACAATTATTGTTGATCGACTGCCAAATAAAAAGACTTTGTTAGCCAACTCTTATTTCCATATTAAAGTAATTACTGTCAGCAAATGAATTGCAGGGTGTCTCGTAGTCGCGCACTCTCTGACTGCTTTTTCTTATGGCTATATTATTGATTTTAGCTTCTTTCTTTTCGCTGTTCTTTGGCCATTCTCTGACGTCTTTAGAGTTTTGAATTTTTAATTGATTCGCACTTTTTTTTGTCGTTTTTGAAAGCGAAAGCCAAAACAAAAATCAGTTTGTTGTTTGTTGTTGTTTTTTGTTGTTGTTGTTGTTGTGTGTGTGTGTATTGGCTACAACGACTTTCATTTAGATTGCAGCAGCAACTTAGGCTAAGCTTAAGCGAAGATTTCCTGCAATTTTCTTATTTATGAGGCCACATTTCAATTGAAATTGAAATGCCGAGGTCTCAAAATAATCTTACGATTCAGAGACCTATATGTATATATACTTGTGTGCGTGCATCATCAGCATAGTCAAGTGCACGCAAAGGTCTCTCAATGGAACATCCTATTTCCTACTTATTAAGTATCTTAAGTAGCAACTGGCATTTCGTTGAATACTTTGTTTATATTTTGTGTTTTGCCTATAAACTTTATACTTCAATTGTGATAAGCGAATCATTCACTTCAAAATTTCGAAATGTATATAATAATTAAAATTTCTGTGAGCCAAGTACGGAGTGGGGGGGCTGGGGGGAAGTAGGCGCTAAAGGGCTCTTCACGGAATCATTGTTATTGTTCCGATAACACGGCTCACAAGCGGCTCCGTGGCGAATTAGATAAGAACTGGGCAAATAACTCGAAAACGATTGGGTGAGGTTCGAAATTGCGTTTTTAATTTTCATTGTTGATTGTTGTTTTTATTGTGCTTTGATTGTGATTCCTATGGCCAGCCATATAAACATGTATATATCTATATATATTCCTGAGCTGTATGTTTGTGAAAATCTGTTGTGCGTTGCATTGTTTGGCTAACAGTTAAGCAAAGTTAAAGTATTCTTCGCACTTCTCCCGCCAATGAGCAGCCTTTCTAGGAAATGGGCTTCAAGTAAATCGAGTTCATGAGAAACTTCCTAAAGATTATTTTTATGATATTATGCGCGTCATTCATCTTAAGTTGTCGTAAACACGAATTTTAGGCTCTGCTAAGTAATCGAAAGGGAAGCAGCTGCCTGCTTTTATTGCTCAACGAGCAAATAGCAAACAATCTGTTCTACTTAAACAGATACATTTTATATTGTTTATAAATTGTTGTTAAGATACAAAAAGAGATTGTTTCTTTTTCTTTTTCTTTTTTTTTGTGGCATTTGTAGTTTTTTCCATTGACCATTGGAAAAATACCAAATGTAGTTCATCACATGTCTTATCAACTTAGGATTCCCCTCACTGATTATGTGCCAAATAATTCCAATATATTTTTACAACTTTTTCGATGTTGAAATCAGTTCTATTTTTATAAATATATTGTTTTTTATTGTTCGTTCTTCTATTTGATATCTTTCATTAAATCATTCCGGTTAACAGTATCTGTATATCTGTGTATAATGTGGGCCACTGTGGCCAACAGCTGCTGCTGGCCCAGATAACAAGTTGGCCACCTAATGCCCCTAATTAAAGTGAGTGCTTTTACTACTCTCTTGCAGAGAGTGGCATAATTAAGTTGTGCTAATGCACACACACACATATATATATATATAGATAATACGACTAGGAACAATCGGCTGGACTGTGGTTGGCAAGGGTATTTAATCTGCGGCGTGTCCAAGATAGACCCGCTTGCCTATTTTTGGAACTGATTGAATCTACAAATATGGCGAAAAGAGTTCTCAGTATGTGCGGGTGTCTGGATGTGTGTGCGATACCATTTCTGGACGCCAGCTAATAACGGTTGGTCGGCCAAAATCTGATTAAGACGTTGTTGCGCGAACTCCGACTGTGAGTGGATGAATCACTGCCAGCGATTTGCGCGGAATTTTATAAGCACTGCTAACTAAATGAATCAGCGAGTGTTTTTCTGCTGATGCTTTCAGTGGAGTGTGGGGTATGTTGCATGTGTGGCTCGTGTGGCACGTGTGGCACTTACCTTCGATGCATGAAGAAGTGACAAAACGATGCCAGGTCGAATCCGAGACAGTCGCATTTGTGCGCTTTTGCATGTTGTAGGCGGCGACATCCTGACGCTTGTTGTTGTTGTTGTTGTAGCGTGTCTTGCGTACCGATTTGTTGTTGCTGTTGTTGTTTTGCTGCTGCTGCTGTTGCTGTTGCTGATAACTGTTGGCAATTGTTGCTGCTGCGCTGTTTTGCCCAGCAGCCGTTGTCAAGTTGCCATTGGTATATTTCTGTGCGCAGCGTTTATGGTTGCTGCTGTTGTTATTGTTATTGTTGTTGTTGCTGCTGCTGTTGCTGTTATTGTTAAAACGCTGCATGTTGTCATCTAAGTAAGAGAGAGAGAGAGAGAGATCATTAGTTAGTTGTCGGCCAAGAATTAGAGTGTTTTTCGTTTCTTACAAATCTTGCAGAGACGCAGTAAATCTTCGAGATACAAATGCATTGCTAGCTGCTGTAGACATAAAGCCCCGCAATCGATTCACAATAATAATAACGATAACAACTCGATAAAACTGGACTTGCGCAGCTCAAACGCCCGCCTCCAGTTGCAGTCTAAATCAAACTAAATGCGCCGGTTAGCGACGAGCGCGCTATAAACAATATGCAAATACGCACACAAATGCATGCACATGCATGTGTGCCTATGTGTGTGTGTGTGTGTGAGCAAGAACTTAATAGCGAAAAGAAAACAAAAGGAAGAAGAAAAAGTAGCAGTAAAAAAACCCAGTAATACAATTTAAATTGACGCGAATTGCGCGCTGCTATCGATGACGACACAGTGATTCATTCGCACATAATGGGAATCGACAACAACAACAGAAACAACAAGAACAGCGACAACAACAACGTGTGTTGATAAGTGAATGCGCAAGTCAATGGCAAAGCCACTGGACGGGGTTCTGTGCTTTTTTGTTGTTGTTGTTGTTGTTTTTGTTTTTGTATTTACTGTTTTGGCTGGGCTAAAGCCCAAGCTTACTTCTTGTTGTTGTTGTTGGGTTTTTGCACGTGGTAAACGGCTGTTTGCCTGTGTTGTGTTGTGCCACACTTACTGTAGCACATGCACGTAGCGAGTGGGGCAGCAGCTGCGCATGCCTGCTACGTGTGCGCAACAGTTAAGGTGCAAGTCGTATGAATGGACTGCAGAGTTCGGCGTCATTCAATCGACTATGCGTCACACACCTTTGAGGCAATCAAAAACGGTTATTTGACTTTATTGGTTAGCAGAAACAAGACAATGTTTACAGTAAGCATTGTGCATTATGCGGAACTCAACAGTCTTAAATAAATTCGTGGGAAAAGAGAGAGAGAGATGGAGAGAAGGAGAGGGAGAGTTCAAATAACAGTTACCATGATTGTTCAATCTTGCAACGGTAAGTTAATCAAAGAGGACTTTTATCGAGAAGATAACGAAACTTCCGCGCTGATAGGATAGGATAGATATCTGACTAGATAATGTCCTACGTCCTAGTATGATAGGAATAACTGCAGATAGCTTTCAGATTTTAGAAATTTGGAAGCTTTCAGCTTAAACAAGAAGTTCGATGCTTAAAGAACGTCGTCGAGTTCAATTGTCGCTCGTGAATTATGATCGGGAATATATACATCTAGTTGATGGGGTCGGGGAGATGCTTCCTCTTCCCTCTGTCTGTTACACTCTTTAGCCCTTAATTGTTTCCGATTCGATAGTGCAATCGAATTCGGAGTGCGATTTCCTACAAATAATCTTATCGGTTGATTAGCAATTTCCTCTATTAACTTTCATATAAACACATTGGAAACCAATCAATAAAAGTTATGAAAGAAAAAACATTTTATATGCATTTCAAGAGCTAAAAGGAAGTTTTTGTTGTTCTTTGGATTTTAGATAATGGATTGAATGAATGGAATACCAATAACAAATCTTTGATTTCAAAACAAATAAACAAAAACTCTAACGGTAATAGAACGATTTAAGAATGTATTTTATTGCAATCTTTACAAATGATAAATTTATGAAGTGATTTCTGATCGCTGACCGGTTTGAGCTACTCAAGCAAGAAAAAAAAAATTTTAATACACATTACTCATATTTACTGGGATTGCTGTTGATTCACACGAATCACTCGAAATGATGTTGAACTGCTGCCCAGAAATAGACGCAACAAGTACTACATATTAAACTTTGGCGCTCATCGGCAGCCACGCCTTCTTTTTTTGTGGCTTTCACTGGTGTCGTGGAATTTGTGCAATTATTAGAAATTGTTAGAAATTCGCCAGAGCGAATATAGACGCGAACCGAACGTTTGATAAACAAAAACAAAGCAACAAAGAGCTGCCCACAAATTTGAAAAATAAATAAACGAAATCAAATGCAAAAACAAAAAATAACAAATAAATAACAAATAGCAATAACCAAATAAAACAAAAACGAAAATGAAATATTTAAAATAAATACAAGAAAAAAGCAAGCCAAAAGCGGCTACAATAAACAGGTACCAGCTTGTGCCTAGCGCCGCTTCTCCATGGGGCTCTCCAAGTATGTGTGTGTGGCTGTGTGTGTGTCTATGCCCCACCCACCACGCCTAAGCCCGCCCCGTCACCCGTTCCGTTTGACATTGCAAAAACAACAGCAACAACAGCAACAACACATTGAAAGATTACTTGAAATTGTAGCGTAATTTTTTATTTTGCATTTTTTTTCCTTTCATCGAGTCCAAAAATTCAAATTCAAAACAAAAGCGACCCCCCCTAAACAGGCCAACGCCCCCCTCCCCCCGGCAGTTAAACGCATTGATTTATGAAAGAAAAGACGGCGTCGACCGGCGTCGATCAGATCGGATCGGATCGGATCGCATCGGTTTGAATCGGTTAGTTTTGTGCCTGAATGGAATTGCGTAGTGGGTAAAGCCAACAACAACAACCACCACCGGAGCATTGACAAAATGAAAAGCAGCTCATGCTGGTCACACTGAAATTGCAATACTCTTCAGCTGCTCACCGAGCGTAGTTTACGGCTCAAACAAAAGTTAAAAGTTATCGATAACGAAAAACTCCGTACAAAAGAAACGATGTCAAACGGGAATTTTGACAACCGCAAGACTAAACTGTCAAAATAATGAACTTTGATGTATTTTAAACACCACTCATGCAAATGCAAATAGTAAATGAATAATAAATGATTTTATTCCTCAAGGAAAATCGCCGTAAAGGCAAGAAAAAGTCTTTTTGTTTTGGGTTCCACAAACGAAACATATGCTTAATGAGATTTTCATATAACTCTTGGCTCACAAACACGTTAAGGGCATTACGAAGCCAGTTTAAGAAAAAAATACAAAAATACATAAAAAAAAAAACGGCTCGCAATCAAAATCAATGCAAAATCAGCCATTAAAATGTGTCATAACTTTTAATATGATATCAGCGGGCGAGTTCGTTGAATCGAGTGATACAAATACATACATATATTTATATGTTTATGCAAATCCATATATAGATATATACATATGTATGTGTATGCGTGTGTGTGTGTGTGTTCGCATTCAGTAGTCGGTTCATCTTCGCATCCCTCGTTTTGCAGCGATTTGGCGGCATTTTTGCAGCTTTGGCATCGTTGCCAAAACGGAAATGCATCGCAATGCGATTGGGGCGCGTGTTGCTATTTGTGGCAACAAAACACATCATGATAATGATGTGATCATCATCATCATCAGCAGCATCATCATAGCATCATCTTCAGCGCGATCATCAGTCGCAATTATCAAAATGATTGCTTGTGTTCATTACGCTAATGATCATTGTCATCATTCATAAGTTCCCATAGACTGTATACATACTATATATACATATAAATATATACATGAACATATACATTTATGTATAAACATACAAATACATATTTACAGCTGTAGTTATGTCTGTGTTTATTCGTGTGCGTGACCAAAGTTGAATGAATTCCACGTAGAGGAAGAGAAAGATCAACGCCAAGAGTGCCGTTGGGAAGGGGAAGGGGGGCAAAGAGGCCGAGGCAAAGGCAGAGGCAAAAGCGAAGCCATCGAACCAAACGCTCGAATTACAGCAAAAAACAAGGCAAAATACTATTAGAATGGGTGCCAGAGGGGAGATGGGGGAGGGGGAGCTTAACTGAACTGTAGTGAAGTGAAACCAAACCAACAAAGCAGATCATTAAGGGAAGAGCCACAAAAGGAGACGCAAAAATTGAGCAGGCAACAGAAAAAACAAAAAAAAAAGCACCGAAGAGAATAGCAAAAAAAAGTAGCCAATTTTTCGCATGGCAACACAAGCAGTGAAAAATCGACACACACACACACGCACACCCTTAGGCAGCTGGCACATACACACACTGATACAGCTTGTAGAAGTGGAGAGAGAGAGAGAGAGAGAGACAAAGACGTCTGAATCAAGGACAATTAATGAGAATGAGAAACTGAAACAGAAACTGAAACTGAAGATAAACGGTTCTCGTTAGGGAATTATGGCATCAATGCATGCCAGACTTGAGTTTACTTGGGACTAGGGGACTACCCCAACTGCTTGAGGCTGAATGAAGACACCATAGAAGATTCAAAGCAAATTACGAAACTACATTTCAAGAATAACTCTGATGCATTTCAAGGAATGCCAACAATGTTATATTTATATATAATATAATTAACATTTAACATTGGACGTGGATGGAATCGATAAACAGTTGAACATAAATTGCTGGAACTTCAAGAACTTGCAACTAGGGAAGTAAATGATTTATTATTTGTCTTTTTTTTAATACCATTAAGCTCATTATTTGCTTATTAAGATGACATTTAGTTGAAAGCTTTAATGTAGTTCAATCTTGCTTATAAATATTAATTTTGTTTGACTGGTTGCAACATTCCTGGCATAACTTGGCTTCGCAACTATAATTTATATACTTTAAGTAGACTTCAGATTGCGCACAGTTTTTGGACTCTGATCTTGTGCGAACTTGTGCAAAAGTGTTTAAGATTCCGTCTCGTTTTTCAGTTAATGTCTTGAACCCTAAACGAGTTTCTTTCCAATTATACACAATCAGTTTAAAACCCCATGTGCGTGTATACATTTATATATTTATACATATACATATATATATATATATTTGGTTTCGCTTAGGGGTGCTGAACTGCGAAGCAAACTTGTTTTGAAAGTTCAAGCTCCCCAATACACATGGCACATGCCTATTATATTACTCTCTTTTTCGCATTTTTTTATTTTTTCATTTTTAAGTATGAATTTAAAAAAAAAAAGAGGAATTTATTGTTTTCCGTTTGTGGCATGTCTTGAGAATAACCAAACTGAGCTTGAATTTTAACTAGATAATCTAATGGAAATATTTATGAAATATGTATGCAAATCACACTTTAAGGAACAGAAACTTTGAAGGGATTAACTCAAATATCCAAATACATATATATATATATATATATATATATATATATAATCGGATGCGATAAATTTGGACGTTTAGGAATAGTTTTGTTTCGTTCAGTGCGATTAGATATAATTGTAATTGGTTTAACGAACCGGAAGTTGAAATGTGGCTTTAATGTATTGCT